ATGGACCTTGGCCTGGGCTCCAGGCTGTAGTGAAAAATGACTTATGGTTCTTGCCATTCCCAGGTTACCTTGTTTCCTGGGACATCTCTACTTCCCAGCTGTGTCTCTACTGTGGTCCGGACTTCTGGCTCTCTTTTCCCCTTCCAGGGTCCCTGGCAGTCCAGTCAAGTCTGGAGACATCCAGGATCCATGATTCGGCTTCAGGTAAGTACCTTAGCTCCTGCGGTCTTGTCTCCTCTCCAGGTGCCCCCTCCTGGGGCAGCCACCACTGCTTTTCTCTCTAGCTCTCTCCTTCTCAGGGCTTTTCTGGCCCCAATGGAAGCCTCACTTCTGATCTTCCTGGCTGCAATCCCAGCTTTTATCCCTTCCTTAAGGGGCCGGGTGGTGAATCAGCATCGGTATGCTGCCATAAAGTGGGTCCATGCCAGGGATAGAGCTGATCCTGGCTCTTCCTGGACCCATCATTCTTTTTTTTTTTTCACTTTTGTTGCCGTAGCATTTTTCCCCACCATGGTTTCACTCCTGCTGGGCTTCTGGTTCTCATCAGCATCCCTCCGTTTCAAGAGCTCTCTCTTTCGGTGTAAGTTTTCTCTCGGGGCATTGCCCTATCACAGCATCAAATCTTCAAATTCTGATTTGGCCAAATTGAATCAGGGACAGTGATCTGAATCAATGAATTGAATCACTGTCCCTGATTCAGGCTGAATCTGAATCCGAATTAAATAGGACCCACTTTGCACAACCCTAGTATTTAGCTCCCCCTACTGGAATCTGTGGGGAATGACACATAGGACTTAGGTTGCTCAAAACAGGGTGTTGTTCAAAAACAAACACATCACACCAAATTAACCTGCAGTGCGATGCTGCGGCTAGTAAAGCGACCAAAACGCTGGCTTGCATCCATAGATGCTTCTCAAGCAAATCCCGGGACGTCATTCTCCCCTTGTACTCGGCCTTAGTGAGGCCGCAGCTGGAGTATCGCGTCCAGTTTTGGGCTCCACAATTCAAAAAGGATGTGGAGAAGCTTGAGAGAGTCCAGAGAAGAGCCACGCGCATGATCAGAGGTCAGGGAAGCAGACCCTACGATGACAGGCTGAGAGCCCTGGGGCTCTTTAGCCTGGAAAAGCGCAGGCTCAGGGGTGATCTGATGGCCACCTACAAGTTTATCAGGGGTGACCACCAGTATCTGGGGGAACGTTTGTTCACCAGAGCGCCCCAAGGGATGACGACTAGGTCGAATGGTCATAAACTACTACAAGACCGTTTCAGGCTGGACATAAGGAAGAATTTCTTTACTGTCCGAGCCCCCAAGGTCTGGAACAGCCTGCCACCGGAGGTGGTTCAAGTGCCTACATTGAACACCTTCAAGAGCAAACGGGATGCTTATCTTGCTGGGATCCTATGAACCCAGCTGACTTCCTGCCCTTTGGGCAGGGGGCTGGACTTGATGATCTTCCGAGGTCCCTTCCGAGGTCCCTTCTGCACAGTCCTATAGTACTTGCATAGGCAAGTACCAAATGACTGTGCTTTAACCAGCATTACTGTGCAGTACATGGCGTAGTTTCCTGACATTACTGTGAAGTAGCATCGCATCATGGTTACTGCCCGGCAATGCTATTCTGCAGTAACAATGAGCTACTGTAGTAAATAAATCCTTTCTGTCATTTATTGAATGACAGGGGCAGTTCCCTCCACAGCCTTCCTGGTGCCCCTTGCCCCTCACCCATAGCCCCTGCTCCCCTAGCTCTGCAGGAGAAAGACCCCAGCTGCCAGGGCTATGGATCCAGGTCTGCAGTCCCCTGACCCTGCTCCTCCCCTGCTGCCTGTTACAAGAGGGTGGGGAGGGGAGTGCACCGGCAAGCAGCTTCTCCATGTGGCTCCACTGTGTCCTGTCAGAAGCAAGGAGGGATTCAGCAAGGCACAGGGTGATCTGCCTATGCATCTGGTTATATGGAGGCAGATGCACTTGTAAGCTTTCATGAGGGAAGCTTAAGGCTCTCTGGGGAAGAGAGTTGGAATGAGGCTTTCTCCCACTGCTTTGCTATTCTCTATCTCATGCTGATGGCATCAGTCGTGGAGAGCCCGGGGAGAAGCTAATGCAAGACCCTCCCTCCTTTCTTTTCCCTCCTGCATATTGGATGACATGAACTAAAAAGGCCTCTAGTTGCCCTGGTGAGTCCCCATCTATGGTACCAAACTATGACAAGAGAAATTTTCTGAGGGAGGCTCAGGTATTTAAAAATTATGTATGTTAGTACATGACACAATGTTTAGTCCTCATTAATTAACTGCACCTTTAACATTTTAACCCTGGTTTCCGAGGTCCCTTCCAGCAAGGGAGGCGTTTGAGTCCCCTGTAGGAGGCTGGGAGGAAGGAGGCAACCCCACAGGGGCCCCAACCAGGGGCCTATTTCTTTTGGCAAAAAGGAGAATAGGCACAAGATCAGAAGCGCTTTCTCAGAGGCACTGAAGTAGACGCCAGTCAACTTTAGTCCAGCTTGCCAGTCTTCACAACAAGAAGGCTACTCGTCGGGGCAGACTGACAAGTCCAACAGAAGCCAGACAGACACGGGTCCTCTAGACAAGCAGGGTTCGATCAAGCAACATAGCTGGCACTCTTCCTGGTTGGTGAGTGGGCGGGGTGTAGGGGAGGCAGAGCCCCGTGGAACATTGCACCCGAACTGTGAGTACTGCCGTCCCTGGGGGCCCCCCAGGAAGAAGATCTCCACTGAACCCTCCCGTTATCTAATAACACCAAGTCATGGCAGGCGAGTTGAGGGGAGGGGCCCCATGCTGGATGGATAGTGTGTCACTTGGGGAACCCCCACTTAAGGCACCTTTCATCACACCTGCCTACTCATGCTATATAAACTCAGCAAAAGCTTCTCCTGTTCTCAATGGGTTGTTAACTCTAAAACCTAAACATGACCATGTGTGTCAGCCCTATCGTGACCCTGTTAACAGAAACATCCAGTGAATGTGCTTATTCTACAACCCTGATCCTTCTTACATGTGTGCCAACCCTCCCAGATGTTCC